TGGAGCGCGAGCACACACGTCCCGACTCTTCAACCTCCAGCACATCCACCGATGGGCATAGGATGGCCAGTTCGCAAACTGGGACGGGCAGGCCGCCCCTTTCGACGCTTACGCGGCCAAACACGTGCGCAGCCAGTGCGTGCTTCAAACCTCGGAGCAGCTCGTGGAACGTCGGGCTGCTGCGAGTTGCACTGCTAGAGCGCCGGCTGCAAAATGAGAGAGGCGTCAGCCGCTGTGGAGAGCGACGCTGCTGAAAGCGTCGACAACGAACGCCACCCATCCTTGAGGCCCCTTGCCTCCATGGCATGGCGCTGGGAAAAACAGCGGCTGAGCACTGATGGCGCGGGCACCGTAAACTGCTCCACGAGCCCACCAACATGCCCCCCGAGGAGTTCAGCGTTGCATCACAAGTGCCTCCGCACGCGAGGAGCTGCGGCTCTGCAGAGCGCTGGCGCGGGTGGTGAGCGCGACATGCCATCAGACCACGAGGGGCACCGGCTCTTCCCCTTCTCTCGGACGCCCATGACTCGGGCCGGGCGAGAGGGGGGTATAGCGAAGGGCGGGTTTGAGAATCAGCTCACGTAGCTGATTTTCCCGGCGCCTCCCGGCGCCGGGAGGCGCCCATGTGTCAAGGAATGGGCCTGGCGGCGGGGCCAAAACCAGCTGCATGCAGCAGATTTCATACCCACGCCTTTCCCTATCCCCCCCCTTCGTTCGGCCCGAATGACCACCCGCCGAGGCAGGCCCTGGCGGCCCTGGCTCCGAGCCGCTGCTCCCCCGGAAGCGACGCCGCCCCCGCGGCTCCATGGCCGCCGACGGCGGCGCCCGCGGAGGGCCGCACGCGGGCGGGCACTGCTCCTCGTCGGGGGCGTCCGGGGGGCCCTCCTTCCAGCCCGACCGCTCGAGCCAGTCGTCTGGGTTGATGGGCCTGTTTTCCACCACCACTACCAGAAGTTGGAGGGGGGAAGGAGGAGGAGGACGAGGGGGGAAGACGAGGGAGAAGGACGAGGGAGGAGGAGGACGAGGGAGGAGGAGGACGAGGGAGGTGGAGGAGGAGGAGGAGGACCCCCTCCCCCTCCAACTTATGGTGGTGGTGGTGAAAAACAGGTCCATCATGGGTAGCTGAGGTCGGTGAAGCTGCTCAGCTCGTTGTTGCCGCTGAAGGAGAAGAGCGTCCTCAGCAGCAGCCGCCTCCAGTCCTCATTGGGAGTCCCAAAGCGGTGCGGTGACGGACCGTGCGGTGACCTCGACATCCCCCGAGACCTCACCGCACGGTCCGTCACCGCGCGGCCTTGGGACCCTGGAGGCCCCTGTCGCCCGAGATCGTCCTCGGAGAACGACTCGAGCCCCAAAACCGTGCGGTGACCCCGAACCCCCGCCGACTCACCGCACGGAGCGGTCACCACCCCGTGGGGGGGGCCCCCGATCCTGGAGCACAGCCTCGGCGTGCGCCTCGACCGCGCTGGAGACCTCCTCGGCGCCGACGCTCGGGCCCCGCGCGCGCAGGCCCGCGAGCAGCGCCTCGCCCTGCTGCTCCGCGGCCCGCTGGCCGGCCTCCACCAGCGGGTGCATGCGGTCCCAGCGGATCTGGCAGACGTCCAGGAGCTTCCTTGGGACGCGCAGATACGGACCAGTGCTAGATGTCCGCCTTGGAGGCGCGCGTCCGATCCGAACATTTGGTGCACCCATCTTGTAGTAGTAGATCCTTTCCCGAGCGGCGTGGCCAGAAAGCGCCCGCCACGACGCACATACTACAAGATTTCTCGGTGCGCGCGTCGCCCCTGGGGGGCGACGCACATTTTGTAGAAGTATGTTGGGGTGACGCCGATTCCTGGCAACCCAACTCATCGAATCCAACGAGACGTTCTGCGGCACCGCCTCCCGGAGCACCCTGATCGGGCGTTGCTAGAAGTGCCCCTGGCCCAAGGTGCCCCCAGCTTCTCGCTCCATTCTGGAGCCCCTGGGGCCCTCTGGGCCTCGTGAGGGGTGCCCTGGAGGCCGTCTGGGCCAGCCCGAGAATCCTGGGGGCACCTTGGGACAGGGGTACTCCAGATCTCGTAATAAAAGGGAGGGGGTCTGGACCCTCCAAGACAAGCCATTGCAGACCCCCCCCCCGTGGGAGAACCCTCAAAAACATCGTCCCCAGACCCCCCCAAGGCCCTCCAAGATAGCCTGGAAGAGACCCCCCCCCGAAATGAGACCCCCCTCCCCAGACCCCCGACGTAGTGTTTTTTTCACGACGCGACCCCCAGAGGTCCCGACCCTTTCCCCATGACCGGCTTTGCATCCTGAGTCGTTTTCTGAGGCTCCCGAGGCCCGGTGAGGGCCCCCGGAGGCCGAAAATTAGGAAAAACCTCCCCGTCGTGACTTTTGTCATTACTCGAGGGGGTCTGGGTCCCTGTATTACGAAATCTGGAGCACTTCAACACCCCACCTTTATTACGAGAATCCTGGGGGCACCTTGGGACAGGGGTACTCCAGATTTCGTAATAGAGGGAGGGGGGGGTCTCATTTCGGGGGGGGTCTCTTCCAGGCTATCTTGGAGGGCCTGGGGGGGTCTGGGGACGATGTTTTGGAGGGTTCTCCCACGGGGGGGGGGTCTGAAATGGCTTGTCTTGGAGGGTCCAGACCCCCTCCCTTTTGTTACGAGATCTGGAGCACTTCAACACCCCACCGGATGCTGCGCGTGGCCCCGACCGGCACAGGCACGAAGGCTGTGTAGTGCGGCGGCCCGGCGCCATACCAAGACACGCTCGCCAGGAGCGGGCTCTCGCCCGCCCCGGCGCGCCGGAGCTGCTGCACGTACACCTCAGTGAAGGGGAGCTGGGCCACACAAAGAAATATACACACAAATGAAAATATCCCCCATATGTTCCCATATGTTCTGGGTTTTTGTCTCCCCCCCCACTAGCCCCTATCTTCCCATATGTTTTCTGGGGATCGCCGCTTCATTGTGTCTGTGTGATTCTTTCCCGCCTGAACCTCGTCCGTGCGGTAGAGAGCGATGGAGCGCTCCCAGTGGCCTTTGACCTTCTCGGACTTCGAGTCGAAGCGGTCCGGGGTGCCGAAGGGCCCCGCCTGGACGCCCTTGGTCATGTCGTACTTCGTGCCAGCGTACCAGTCGCGATGCCACGAGATGACGTCGCGATGGTCAATAATCGGGGGAGCGTAAGACCCGGGTTTGCCAGGACTCGGGTTCGCCATCGTTTTTTGACGACCGCGCCTCGGACTTTGACGAGGAGGAGTTTCGTGGGATGTCTGCAGCGGGAGTCCTCGTCAAAATGCAGGCTCGGCCTCGTCATCTTTTTTGACGACCTCGTCGGGGATTTCCGAGTCCCCTGTACCCAGGTCTTATAGGGAGCCCACAAAGGACGTACGCGCCCAGCTATGTACATGAACACGGCCCCTCGATCCGCGAGACCGGCCGCGTGATACGAAGAGTTGTGCAATGCGTGCTCTCGAAACCAGCGTGGATTCATGTACATGTACGTCCTTCTTTCGCTCCTGATCTTACGTCCCCCTGGAATAAGCCTGTCGGGCTTCACGGACCAGGGGTACGCGGCCGCGTAGCGCAGGTCGTCGTACTCCTCTGGCAGGCGGAGCGAGGGCGCGGCCAGCTGCAGGCCCCGCCACATGCGGCGGCCCGCGTAGTACTTGTGGTCGTACTCGCCCCTGGAGTAGACCCTTGTGAAGTCCAGCGGCCGCCCCGGGCTCCACCATCCTCGGGGATGGACAGACCCCCCTCTAGTAAAACGAAGGATTGCAACAAAAAGGATTGCAAAAAAAACCTAGGGTTTTTGTTTGCAATCCTTTTTTGCAGTCCTAGGGTTTTTGTTGCAATCCTTTTTTTGCAATCCTTCGGTTTAGTGAAAACGACCTGAGGCCCAAACCTGGCGGGCGCAAGCCTGGAAAATAACGGCCACGGCGCCCTCTCGAGAGCCGAAAACGGACAATTCACGAATCGACGTGTCACTGTTGGGGGTTCTGTCCACACCCGACATCCCATGTTCTCCGCCACGCTGAAGAGGTTTGCCGAATGCAGGTAGTTCGCCTTTTGGGCGTGGCTCAATGGGGGGGTCACAAATGGGGGGGGGGGTCAGAACAGGTCCCCTTTCGTGCCCCTTTCGGGCCCCTCCAGAGCCCCAGGGGGCTCGTTTAGGTACCGTTTGGGTACCTTTTCGGACCACCCTTGCCGCCCCCCCATTTATGACCCCCCCATTACGCGGCGCCCAAGCCTTGTCGTCTGGGTCAATCTCCCGGATGGTGAACATATTCGCCACGACGGTGACGTGGTCGTCTGGCAGCCTCTGTGCGGCCCAGATTGCGCTCGTGCCAGAGGGGTCCGAGAGTATGTGGAAGACCCACGCTTCATCGGGGTCGCCGACGATTAGTGACTCGCCCGATCCCACTTCGAAGTCCGGTGCTCCGTAGAAGCCGTGCCGCACTGCCAAGTCTCCCATGAGCTCCACCGCGCCCCTAGCGGTCCGGCAGCGCTCCAATGCCAGGTACGTCAGCTGGTCGATGCTCATGAGCGCGGACCCGGTGCTGCGCCCATGCTCGCAGCCGACCGAGGAGCCCTTGCCGCAGGTGCCGAAGACAGCGTAGGTGGTGGACTCGCCCATCGACAGGCCATGCTCGTTGATTACGCCGTAGGTGCTGGTCTGGTAGCCGAAGGTGAGCTCTACCTGGTCGATGAAACCGATGGGCTCTGTCTGGTTGAAGCCGGCGGTGAACTCATTGGGCATGTAATCTGTCGACCCCCGCTTGCCAAGGGTGCCCTTCACCTAGTTCCCGCTCCCCCAGTGTCCACAATCGCGCTGGAGGAGAGAAGGGCGGGGTGCACGAGCTACGTCTGGGGCCCTCGAGGCTTTCAAATCCACTGCGTGGCCCCGAGGATGCCCAAGATGCCTTCAGAGATGGCTCAAGAAGGACTCCAACACGCCGAAGAGGTCTCAAAAATACACCTAGATGGCCTCAAGACGGCCCCAGAGGCTCCCAAGACGCCTCGAGGGGACTCCAAGAAAACCATCAGGAATGCCCATGGGAGACAGACTTGCTTATTTTCCATTTGTTTTCACTGTATACTGAGTTGTCGACATTCCGGGCTTCTGAAAATCTAAGACGGCCCAAGAGGCAGCCCAAGGCGGCCCAAAAGGCTCCCACAGTAGCACTGAGAAAGCCCAAGAGAGCCCCAAGGCGCATCAAGAAGCCCACAAGACGGCGCAAAAGGCCCCCCAGAGGGCCCTACAAGAGAAGGCCAAGAGTGGGAGCTCGAAGGGGCGCCTGGGGCCCTCCCTTCCAAGATGGCCCCGAAGACACCCCACATGTCCCCAAGAGGCCCCATGGAACCCCCGAGAGGCCCCCAGAGAGCCCCAGAGGGACCCAAGGGGCCCTGGGGAGTCCCAAGTGGCTGCCACGAGGCGCGCCCCGAAGCCACCAAGAGACCCACAAAAGGCCCCGTAACATTCCCCAGGGGACGTTCAACATGGATCGTCGTCTTTGACATCCTCCTCCTCCTCCTCCTCCTCCTCCTCCTCCTCCTCCTCCTCCTCCTCCTCCTCCTCCTCCTCCTCATCCTCATCCTCGTCCTCCTCCTCCACATCGTCCTCCTCATATTCGCCGCCGTGCTCTTCCTCCTCCTCCTCCTCCTCCTCCACCTGTCTCGCAGAGAGCCGGTGGAATGGCGCACGCCTCTCGAATCAGGGCCCATGGCCGATCCCACATAGCGTGGAAACTTGCCGCTGCTAAAAAAGATCGGTCTCTTCTCACCAGGACTGTGGTTCCGAGGCGGCACGTAGATCAAACGGACATCGTCGGATGCGTCCCCGTCGTCCGAGTGGGAGATGAGCACCGAAGCATCCCTCGACGTCGACGACAACGATGGAGACGACGACGACGACGCGACGACGACGCGACGACGACGATGACGACGACGATGACGACGACGACGATGACGACGACGGTGGCGGCGGCGACGGCGGGGACGACGACGACGACGACGACGACCACGACGACGACGACGAAGATGGCCTGGTTGCCCCCTTGCCCGCCGCAAAGACTGTGCACGCATGGCCAGCGCCAGTCAGCAACATCAACAGAGTTGCCGCCTGCCGCGCCCACGCCGAAATCGCACGCACCATCGTAGCGAAAACCTTGGGGGGGGGCACTCTGCGATCGCGCCCGGTTTTCGAGCCACAATGACTATTGACGGTGGCCGGGGGGGGCGATACTGGCCCCCCTTGGATCGTGTAAATTCCGAGTTCGGATGGGCGATGCGGCAGAATCATATGCAAATTTCAATACGAAAGAGAGACAAGCGCCGTGCACGTCAGAGGTGCGTGAACCTTTGAGTCCGGGGGGGGGGGGGGGCAGAACCTACGTCTTTTTAGAACAGAGAACATACGCGGGGGAAGCTATGTGGTGCAGGCTTCGTGGCGCAAAACTTTTGTCGCCTCCTTTCCACCAGCCTCTGCCCTCCGCCCACAGGCTTGCGGCGCTGGGCCTCCTCGGGGGCCGAAAAGGGGGGCTCGGCCTGCCGCCGAGCCACGGCCCCCCAAGGGCAGGGGCCTCGGCAGGCAGGCCCACGCCAGCCCGCCGCACGGAGCGAGAACGGAGCGCCAGCCGCTCCCACTGGGCCCCTTTCACCGGGCGGTGCCAAGCCTGCAATCAACCTGCGTGGTGCAAGCTGTGTGGCGTCAGCTGCGTGGTGCAATACATGTTGAGCACCCTGGGTTGAGCACTCTACGTGAAGAACGCTCGGAGGTGCAACATATGTTAAATCACATATGCGGTGCAAGCTAGGCGGTGCAAGCTTTTGCGAATTCATGTGGCGCAAGCGAGTTAAAAACATTATGCGTGGTGTCAAGTATGTAGTGCAACCTGCGTGGTGCTGCTTATGCGATGCAAGCGACGTGGTGCAATATATGTGGCGCAGTTGACTACCCTGCACCGCGCTTGACCGCTCCACTGCTCGCGCAAACGTCCCACCCACCCACCCGCAACTTGGTTTGCAAAACCTCTTAAGACCGTGGCGGCGGGTACCAAATGGCACTTGCCAACGACAGCGACGCCGACGAAAACAGCGACAACGATGACTACGACGCCACCGACAACGACAACGACGACACCGACGACGTCTCCAACGACTTCGACGACGCCGACATCGACGACGACGACGACGACGCCGACGACGACGACGCCGACGACGACGACGACGACAACGACGACGACGACGACGACGCCGACGACGACAACGACGACACCAACAACGACGACGCCGACGACGGCGACGACGACCACGACGACGACGGTGGCGACGACGACGACGCCGACGTCGACGACGACGAGGCCGACGACGACGCCGACGCCGACGACGAAGACGACAACGACGTCGCCAACGAAGACGACGACGAGGGAGGGAGGACGACGACGGCGACAACGACGACAACGACGATGATGCAACGCAGGCATGAGGGTGGCTCCCTGTGCTCAATACGTGAGGCTCTAAGCTCTAGACAAGAGAGGAAGAGCACAAAAAAGAGGGAGCGAAGCACGGGGGCGCCTAGTCCTGGACGACAGACCAGGCCTGTAAGTCCCTCCGTGCTGCCTCGACCTGTCGGGGCGACGGTGCCTGCGGCTGCGCTGGGAAGAGGAAGTTGCGGGGTGGGTCCTGCTGGGCCCACGGAGCAACACGAACATGTCGCCTCTCTGCTCGAATTCGTCGAGCTGCAGCACGCTTGGCCTCGATCCTGGCCCTTTGGGAGGCGGAGAGGGGAAGGGGAGCAGGGGGCGGAGGCAAAGGCGGAGGCGGGGGAGGGGAAGGAAAAAAGGGCCAGGACGCAGCTTGCTCCTCTGAGGAGCCGAACAGAAAATCTGCTACTCGCTGCTCTTCAGGATCCTGTTCTGAGTGACCCTGGGCAGGCGGGGGAGAATCAGAAACCTCAGGCCCTTCAGGATCAAAAGAGTCGAAACGATAGAGCTCGGGGTATGTGCGCCTAGACAACCGACCAGCCCTGCCTTGGAACCCAGCAAAATCATGGGCTGGAACGGGGGGTTTTGGCGCGCCACGCTGCGTGGCAGCGTAGAAAGACATGAGCCCTGCACGAATTTCTTCACAGTCCTGATAGTACTGAAATACAGGCTCCTCGCACGAGGAGTCGATTAGAGTGCTTATTTATGCTGGCCACGATACTTCCCCGCGAGAGCCTTACATAGGCCACCTGGGTAGGCCTTCTTAGAGGCCGTGTGAAAAAAAAACACCGCACTCACGCTTGCCGAGCAGTGTCCTGTGAACACCTCTGCCGTGCGAGCACTTCCCATTGCCTGGAGTAGAACGCAACCTGGACGGTAAACAAGGCATGCGCACAGACAAAATACAGGTGGGTGCCCGACCGTATGTAGACGGGCAGGCGGCGACAACGACGAGGGAGGAGGGAGGGCGGCGACGACGCGAACGACGAAGAAGGAGGAAGGACGGCGACGCCGACGACGACAACGACGAGGGAGGACGGAAGACGACGACGAAAACGACGACGACGACGACGGCGACGAAATAGGAGGGATGACGACGAGACGACGACGACGGACGACGACGACGACGAGGGAGGAGGAGGAAGGACGACCACGGCGACAACGACGACGGAAACGACCACGACGCCAAAGAGGACGACGACGACGAACACGAGGAAACACAGAGAACGACGTAGGCGACGACGATGACGACGCGGGAGGAGGAAGGACGGCGACGACGACGACGACGCAAGAGCGGGCGCGCACGCTTTTGTTGAAAATCCGTGTTGCGAAATCTTGTGGTTTTGGAGGTTTCGTGGACATACGATTTTGAAATCCTTCCGAAACCTATGGGTTCTGAAGGATTTCGGCATACGCGCGCGACGACGCGCGCGTCTGCACTTCGTCCCATGTTTTGCAGAGGCTTCTCGCGATGGCGCACGCGCAAGGGCGTTCGACAGATTCCGACATGCGTGCGCGAAGCCCGTTCGGTAGCATGTTGTGAAAATCTTGAAAAACCGATGGTTGTCTTAAGATTTCGCAAGAGCTCGCGCGTAAGTTTGTTGGAAACTCGATTGCGAAATCCTTCCGACACCGAAGGTTTTTGAATGATTTCGGAATGCGCGCGCGACGACGCGCGCGTGTGCATTTCGTCCCATTTGTTGCAAGGGATTCGTGAAACAGTCTTATGTTAGAACAGAAAATGCCCCCGCGTATTATCTTTTCGAGGGAACCTCAGGGGGACCGATCCCGGCCCCACGAGGATAGTGCCAATTCATATTTAGGATGGACATGTGGTCAAAATCATACATGATTTACATACCCGAAAGGGGAACGGATATCTCCGGGGGGGGGGGGGTCGAGTCTATTTTCTTTGAATCAAAGGAAAATTCACCCATGCTTAACTTGAAGTTGTCCACCCCACTGCTCGCGCAAATGTCCCACCCACCCACCCGCAACTTGGTTTGCAAAACCCATGCGGGAGCGATTGCGATGAGTGCTTGGCGTTGGCTGGTGCATCTCTGTGGCCGCGCTAGCCCGCGCGCGTTCGCGCGCGCAGCGGCCAGCGAGTTTGGCACGACCGACGCAGCCGCGGTGGCGCTGACCGCTGGGCACATCCCAGCGGGCACTTCAGTGCGAGTCGGCGACTTGGGCAGGCGCGGTACCATGGCAACGTCGACAACGGTAGACACGATGATGCTAGTAGCGATGCTGGCGACGATGCTGACAGCGACGACGGGGCAGCCAGTGACGACGCCGATGCTGATCACGCCGACGACGACGACGGCGTCTCCGCAACGGTGATGAAGGGTTAAGGAATTCGAAATGCGCGCGCGGCAGACGCGCGAGAGTGGCTCGTATGGTATTATTTGACACGGGTGGTGCCACCCCAGCACACGCACAGGGGCGATCGAACGATTTCGACATGCGCGCACGAAACCCGTTTGGTAGTATTTTCAGAAAAATTAAAACACCTATGGTTTTCGGAGTAATTCGCAAGAGCGCGCATGTTTTTTTTGAAAATCCGTGTTGCGAAACCTTGTGTGCTTTGTATGTTGGGGGAGTTCTATTTTGAGACCCTTCCGAAACCAAAGGTTTTTGAATGATTTCGGCATGCGCGCGCGACGCGAACGCGTGCACTTCGCCCCATGTTTTGCAAGGGGTTCTTGAACACTTCTGATTGTTGGTGAACGAGTGCGCGCGCATAATATTTTTGCAGAGGGTGGCCGGGGGGGGGGGGGGCGATACCGGCCCAGCTGGGATAGTATGAATTCACAGGTCGGATGGAAACATGGGGTCATAATCACATGCAAATTGCAATACGAAGAAGTGAATCGTTAAGTCCGGGAGGGGAGGGTGGTAGAACCTATGTTTTAAAATGAGATTATATGTATGTGGTGCCATATACGTGGCGAAATATATGTTGAGCACTCTATGTGGTATAAGCTATGTGGTGCTATATATGGTGAAAGCTACGTGGTGCAAAACAAAACTTACGAACCAACGACGTAAAGCAATGCAACGCAGCGCAACTCAACGCAGAGCAACGAAAACCAATGCAACACAATGCGAAGCAATGGCACGCAAAGCGATGCAAAACAATGCAGGGCAATGCAAAGCAATGCAAGGCAATGAAAAGCGGGCGGCGACGAGGCAACGGGCGGCGACAAGACGGCGACGGCGGCCACATGGCGGCCAGAGCAGCCACAGCGGCCCAGGCGACGGGCGGCGACGGGCGGGGACGAGGCGGCAACGGCGATCACATAGCGGCCAGAGCGGCCCGCAGGCCCAGTTCCATAGCAGACGCATGCGAACCCCCAAATGCAAGCACTGTGCTTGGGAGACTTGTCGCTCTGACACACCGCCCCCGCATACCCAAAAACGCCACTGCATCACGACAGTCGTCAAAACCTCCTCGGCGGCCATGAGGCCCTCCTCCCCCCAGCAGGCTCGACCACGCTCGGCCGTGGTTGAGCCGCCATCTCTCGGCCTTTCCTCCGCTCCGAGGTTTCTCGCCGCGGTGACGGCTGGCGTGCCGCGCGGCGGATCAGAGGAAGCCGCCGGGCCTGCGGAGCCCCCGCTGGCCAGCGAGCATGCTGAGGGGAGAGGAAGAGGGGGGGAGGGGGTGGGAGTGGAGAGCCTGGGGTGGGAGGGGAGTGGGGGAGGAGGGGGGACAAAAAAGGGCGAGGAAGGGAAGGGAAGAAGGGGCAGGAGGAAGGCGACGGGAAGGGGGTGGGAGAGTGGCGGAAAGGCGGGAGGGAGGGGCAGGGGCAGGGGAAGGGGGCGGGAGGGAGTCCACTAGGATGCACGTCGAGATCGGAACCGCCATGCATCCTCCTCCTCCTCCTCCGCCTCCTCCTCCTCCTCCTCCGCCTCCTCCTCCTCATCCCTCCTCCTCCTCCTCCTCCTCCTCCTCCTCCACTTCCTCCTCCTCCTCCTTCTCCTTTTCCTTCTCCTCCACCTCCTCCTCCTCCTCCTCCTCCTCCTCCTCCTCGTCCTCCTCGTCCTCCTCCTCCTCCTCGGCTCATTCCCCTCCCATCGGAACGTCTTGATCCTCAGATTATCGGCATTCGTTTTTCAGCAGCTGCGTCCTTCGTCTGGCGTGCGGACGTGCTGCAAACATGGGGCTTGCGCCCCGGCGCCGCGAACACTCGCCTCAGCACACAGCCAGCAACGACGTACACGAGCGTAACAACAAGATCCAAAGGGATAGAATTCTGGAGCGATTCCGTGTGCCAGGAGGCGACAGGGGCGACTCCCGAGGCACAAGCTTCAGGAACGGAGATCTGGACCGGTTGAGCGCTCCCAGAAGACAACAGCCACACTGAGTCGTGTGGCTAGAATCGCATGAATGGAATTCCGAAGCGATGTACAATTCTGAGGCGGCTTTCTTCAAACGGAGCACCTCTCGCAATGATAAGAGCAATTCTTTCGGGGGCCTGTGAGGAGGGAGGAAGCTTGGAACGGGGGGATGCATTGCAGAATCGTGGATGCGTCGTGGGCTTCCACTGGTCCTCCTCATCCTCCTCAGTCTCCTCCTCGTCCTCCTGACCATCTCCCTCCAGGGAAGCATCAGCATAAACATAAACTTTCGGAGGTCCGCGCAGATTTCTTGGATCGGCACTGGACCCCCCTCCCTGGCGCGCTCCGCGCGCAAGGGGCGGCGCCAGAGGCGCCTCCAGGGGGTCCGCGCGGACCTCAGATGAGTTCTGCTTATCCCGATGGTTCTTCTTCGACTCCCGCCCACCCACCCAGGATCTCCTCCTCCTCTTCCTCTTCCTCCTCCTCGTCCTCCTCCTCCTCCTCCTCCTCCTCCTCCTCCTCCTCCTCCTCATCATCATCATCATCATCCCAACTCCATTCCTCCCTCCTCAAGGCCGGGCGGAACGGGCGCGCAGCCCAGCCGGATTTCGTATCCCGGCAGCGGAAACCCTGGGCCGCCAGCGACTGCGCCAGCTGCTGCACAGCGCCGATCGACAGGCCGACGGGCTCTGGGCGAGGGCGGAGGGGAAGTGGGAGGAGAAGAACACGCAGAGGGAGGGTGAGGGAGAGAGCGGGAGGGGCAGCGGGAGGGAGGGGGTGGCGACAAGCTAGGTGCGCTCGCGTCATATCTGACGTCCTAACCCTCCCTCCCATCCCTTACCATAGCGTAGGTATCCTCTCTATTCGCACAATCGGATGTCGCAACATGGCATAACATTACATGGCATAGCGTGGTGTTGAAGATCAACGCGTAGCATGACATAGCATGACGTGTCGACGCACCTATGTGGGGGGGGCTCTGCGACTCAAACATCAACGAATCGACACCGAATGTGGAATCACTTCCGATGGTTTCTTCGGGAGGCCATTGTCTAGATTTTGGGGCCTATTTGGAAAGACCGAAAACCATGCCGTGGCATGGCACTGCGCTGCAATGGGAGCACGATTCGGAAGCGAAAGCGCGGAAATGAGGCCAGCGCAGCAGCGGGAGCAAGATTCGGAACGAGCGGTAGCCCGAATATGAGGCCAGCGCTTCAGCGAGAGCAGCATTTGGAACAAAAAACCAAGCGCGGAAACGCGGAAATAAGGACGCGTAGCATGGCGTGGTGACGCCTTCAAAGTGGGGGGTGCTCCTGCGACCCAAAAGATCAACGAATCGACACCGAATGTGGAACCCGCCGACCCCTTGGGGTCAGCGTGTGATGCTTCTTCCTCCTCCCCAAACCCCTCCCCTGGGGGCATGGTCCAGCCGGTTTGGAAGGGGGGGCAAATCTATCATCCGCACACTTGGAGCCTCAAGAGGCCCCAAAACGGGCCCAAAAGGTTCCAAAGGTTCCAGAAACGGTCCAAGAGAGCTACGAATCGACGAAAGGTCGCGCCAAAACGCCGAAGATTGCCTCCACGCGGCTCCATAAGTCCCCAAGCCGTTTGAAACAATATTACGAGGCGCCCCAAAGAGGTCCTCCAGAAGCAAAAATCGTCCCATTCCCGAGGGAAACGTACATGTTCACCACATTCGCCCATTCGGCTTCCACGCGGCGCAAAGCGGCCCAAAAAGCCTCCAAGATCGACCCTCGCCAGCCCAAGAGGCTCCCAAAAAGGCTCCAAGACGGCGTCCGGGCGATCCACGAAGGCCCCAGAAACCCTAGCAACGGCCCAGGGAAACCGCAGGACGGTCGCAAAAGGGCTCCAAAACGGTGCAAAAGGACCCCCAAAGGCTGTCCGGACGGCTCACGCGGGGGACGATTCGGTCCAAACCGCCCAAGATCTCTGCCAGACGGCCCCATGAGTGTCCAAGACGTTTGAAAACGCGACCACGAGGCGCTCCAAGAAGGCCTCTACAAGCAAAAACCATCCCATTCCCGATGTAAAACGTACATGTTCAGCACATTCGCTTCTTGGGCTTCCACGAGGCACACAACGGCCCAGTAAACCTCCAAGGTCGACCTCTGGCGCCCCAAGAGACTCCCCAAAAGGCTCCACAACGGCCTCCGGGCGCCCCGCGAAGGCCCCAGAAACCATAGCAACGGCACGGGCGAACGGCAGGACGGTCCTAGGAGGGCTCCAAAAGGTGTCTAGAGGGGCATCACAGGCTGTCCGGACAGGCCACGCGGGGGATGATTACTGCCGCCCCAAGGGGTCGGCGGCGTGGCGTAAGCCAATGGACCCACGTCCGGAAGCGACGTGCCGAGCGGCAGCGTTTTCCGCGGATGCTGTAATGCAGTGGATCCAATGTGTCAATTGTTTGCATAATTCCCACATGCTGTATTGTGTTACATTATTATGTCTCCCCCTAACCCCCCTGCAGTCGCGCCACATGAACGGACCAAGATGCCCCCCCCCCCTTCCGGGGCCATAGAAACCGACAGAAACTGAAGAACAATCAACAAATTCTACCTCTTGGGCCCCTTGGGGCCCCAAGAGGGCCTCAAGATGGCCCAAAATGGCCCCAAGACGGCCCTAGACGGCGGCCCCAAGACGGCCCAAGATATTCCCAACGGGGGCCCATGAGGCCCCCAAGACGGCCCCCAAAGCTCCAAGGACGGCCCAAGAGGGCCCCGAGAGCGCCCACAACTGCGCCTCCAGAGGCCGAAATCATTGATTTCCCAATGGTTTTTGCAATATTCTAGCGTTCTCGTTTTTTTCGGCTTTCACAAATCCATGACGGCCTAAGCAGCTTCCAGGCCCAAAAAGCCCCCAAGAGGGCTCCAAGACGGCCCAGGAAGGCCCCAAAACGGCCCAAAGAGGCCCCCAAAACGGCCCAAGAGGCCGCGAACACGGCCCTAGAGGACCCCAAGAGGGCTCCAATGCGGCCGCGAGAAGCCCCCAGGACAGCCTCCGAGGGGGCGAAACGGCGCAAAAACGCCCCAAGACGGCCCAAGACGCCCCGAAGAGGCCCCAAGAGGCCCCCAAGAAGCCTCCAAGAAGCCCCCCAGAAGCCTCCCAAAGGCCCCCAACAAGCCCCCCAAAGGCCACACATCGACTGGAGTGTAATGTCATTTTCCCCCCTCTGGGCGAACTGCGGCGCAGCGCCAGCCAGGCGAAGTTAGTCACTGCGGCGCCCATGATTAGAGCCGGCGCTGGAAGGGAAGATGGGGAGGGTGTATGAAAAGGAAAGGGGAAAGGCCCCAAAGAAGCTCCCAGGAGGCCCCCAGGAGGCCCCCAAGAGGCTCCCAAGAGGCCCCGCGACGACGTGACTGTACGTGCTCCGGACGTGCACCCCGCGAAGCGAGAGGAGTCCACGTCTGGAGGTGACGTTCTGAGCGGCAGCGTTTTTCGGCGAACGCCTTCATGCAACGTATCCGATGTATCCAAAGATTCCATACTTGCAACATAGTGTATTGCGTTACATTATTATGTCTCCCCCCCTAACCCCCCTCTGGGAGCCGCGCCACAGCGCCGTACCAAACTGATCGCCCCCCCCTGGGGCCCTAAAAACCTACAAAAACCAATGGCAAATCAACAACTTCGGCCTCTTGGGCCTCTTGGAGCCCCAAGAGGGCCTCAAGATGGCCCAAAATGGCCCCAAGACGGCTCAAGACGGCCCCAAGACGGCCCAAGATATTCCCAACGGGGGCCCATGAGGCCCCCAAGACGGCACCAAGAGGGCCCCAAAAGCTCCAAGGACGGCCCAAGAGGGCCCCAAGAGCGCCCATAACTACGCCTCCAGAGGCCGAAATCATTGATTTTCCAATGGTTTTTGCAATATTCTAGCGTTCTCGTCTTTTTCAGCTTTTAAACATCCATGACGGCCTAAGCAGCTTCCAGAATCGTCCCAGAACAACCCAAAAAGCCCCCAAGAGGGCCCCAAGACGGCCCAAGAGGGCCCCAAAACGACCCAAAGAGGCCCCCAAGACGGCCCAAGAGGCCGCGAAGACGGCCCAAGAGGACCACAAGAGGGCTCCAATGCGGCCGCGAGAGGCCCCCAGGACAGCCTCCGAGGGGGCGAAACGGCGCAAAAACGCCCCAAGACGGCCCAAGACGCCCCGAAGAGGCCCCAAGAGGCCCCCAAGAGGCCTCCAAGAAGCCCCCCAGAAGCCTCCCAAAGGCCCCCAACAAGCCCCCCAAAGGCCACACAGCGACTGGTGTGTAGTGTCATTTTCCCCCCTCTGGGCGAACTGCGGCGCAGCGCCAGCCAGGCGAACTTAGTCACTGCGGCGCCCATGATTGGAGCCGGCGCTGGAAGGGAAGACGGGGAGGGTGTATGAAAAGGAGGGAGGGGGGAAAGCCCCCAAAGAAGCCCCCAAGAGGCCAAAAGAAACTCCCAGGAGGCCTCCAGGGGGCCCCCAAGAGGCTCCCAAGAGGCCCCGCGACGACGTGACTGCACGCGCTCCGGACGTGGGCCCCGCGAAGCGAGAGGAACCCACGTCCGGAGGTGACGTGCTGAGCGGCAGCGTTTTTCGGCGAACGCCTTAATGCAACGTATCCAGTGCCAAAGATTCCATGATTGCAGCATATTGTATTGCGTTACATTGTTATGTTTCCCCCCTAACCCCCCCCGGGAGCCGCGCCACAGCGCCGTACCAAAATGATCGCCCCTTTCCTGGGGCCCTAAAAACATTCAAAAACCCATGGGGAAATCAACAAATTCGGCCTCTTCGGCCTCTTGGGGGGCCACGAGGGCGCCAAGACGGCTCAAGATGGTCCCAAAAGGGCCCCAAAAGCTCCAATGACGGCCCAAGAGGGCCACAAGAGCGCCCACAACTGCGCCTCCATATGCCAAAATCATTGATTGTCCTATGGTTTTGGCTATATTTTAGCGTTCTCGCCGCTGCGGCCCAAACAGCTTCCAAAACCGCCCCAAAACAACCCAAGAAGTCCCCAAGAGGGCCCCAAGACGGCCCAAGAAGGCCCCAAGACGGCCCAAAGAGGCCCCCAAGACGGTCCGAGAGGCCCCTAGGACGGCCCAAGAGGACCCCAAGAGGGCCCCAAGGCGGCCGCGAGAGGCCCCAAGACGGCCTCCGAAGAAGCGAAACGGCAGAACAACGCCCCAAGACGGCCCAGGACGCCCCCAAGAGGCCCCAAGAGGCCCCCAAGACGCCCCCAAGGGGCCCCAAGGAACCCCCCAAAGGCCTCCAAAAAGTCTCCAAAAAGTATTCAAAAATGCCCCATCGAAGGCCCCCCAAAGCCCAAAGCCCACACAGCGACTGGAGTGTACTGTCATTTCCCCCCCTGGGCGTAGTGCGGCGCAGCGCCAGCGAGGTGGAAGTTGGTCACGGCGGCGCCCATGATTAGTGCTGGCGCTGGAAAGGGATATGGGGAGGGAGTACGAAAAGGAGGGAGGGGGGAGAGGCCCCAAAGACGTCCCCAAAACGGCCCAAGACGCCCCCACGAAACTCTCGAGAACCCCCAAAACGACTTCACTGTACGAGTTCCGGACGTGCACCCCGCGAAGCGAAAGGAATCCACGTCCAGAAGTGACGTGCTGAGCGGCAGCGTTTTCTGCGGAGGCGATAATGCAGTGTATCAAATGTATCCAATGATTGCCGAATCGTTACATCGTGTACTT